TTGTGACTTTGTGGCTCCTTCAACCAAAATGAAGGTATAGTGCGTTCATTAATTTATCTTCGCCGGTCTGATGTATCTTGTTGCAGTTTATGATGGAGTGTATCACCCGAGTTCTTGGGGAAGGTTCAGGGCAGAAGGTCGGCTATCCTGGTTCCATTTGTCGTTTCTTAACGTTGGCCGCAGATAATAGTCGTGTCGCAGTGGACTGCACTACTCTCGTTTGCCGCCATCTACCTCCAAAAGGCCGGAATCACCTATCAAAGGTGCCGTCAATTCTGATACTTCTTCTTCGTGCTCAATTGTTCGATATGTAGATATCAAGGTAACATGAGTCGGAGACAACGAGATTATTCTGTACGTCAATTTATGAAGGAAGATGGGACGGAACCTGTGATGTTGCTGTCGTTGCTGTGTGGTGGTACGTTCAACCTTTGAGAGTCTGGCAGGATGCAGGGGATTCTTAGCAACACTTTCTCCAGGAACTGGCCTTAACCTAACTCGCGCCAATCATCTCATCTGCCTTGATCTTGGCTGGTCTCCTGCCATCGAGAACCAAGCTTTTGACCGGTCAGCGGGGCGTTGCCGGTTATACTTCACACGCTCACCCAGAATCTCGTTCACCAGCATCCACAGGTTGGGACAAACACGGCCTGTATTCATCCACCGAGTTGTTATTGCTGATACTGGTCCGTGATATACTCAATACCAAGCTGGCCTAACTATTGTATAGTCGAGGACCGCATTCTTGCTTTGCAGGAGAGAAAGGTTCGTCACATTGTATCAAGTGGTGTTTGCCTAGGTAATCTCGGCTCTTACAGCAAAACCTTGCCGATGGAAGCCTCGGGGAAGGGAAGGGAAAGAGTTTCCGAGGTAAGTAATGCCGCAAACGTTGTTGCAATTAACATTGACCCTCTCATTTAGCACTCTCTCCCAAGGAGCTGGCGGTTTTATTCGGCACGACTTTGAGAGCCCGGTAGGAAGACGCGGCACACAGCGCTGTACAACAATCAACGTAAATAGACCACGAAATTTGTATTTTCAACCCTTGAGTATAATCAAGATCAACCCAAGATCAGCCGTGAGAAAGAGACGGGGGTCGTTCGAAACTCACCTAAATTCCAGTCCTCCACATCCGCCCTTCGCGCGCGGGACCAATCGGCGATGTCTTGAAGAGGTGTCTCCCCCCCGTGAGTGCATTCCGGTCAAATCTCCGGCGAAACTTTTCTAAGTTATCCCAGTCTAGCTTAGCTCCCAGCGCCGCGCTAAGAAAAAGTTTGATCTTCTTGCAGTAAACTTTGTGGGGAAATTTACGGGCCTTGAGAAGGACGTTATTAGGCCTATTACCTAAAGAGAACTGAGTACGAACCTTCCAATCGTCCGCCTAACAGGCGGGACTGCAATATCCAGGGACGTTGCAAGCAGAACACCTTTGGAAGGTGTTGATGATTTCCTGGAAGGAACGGGGAAAGGACAACATTTTGGTTAAAGTCGCGCGTATGACGACTTTCCAGCCCGGAGGCCCTCTAGGATTAATTCAAAAGCATATACAGTCGTTAACCGGGAAGCGCAACAACACCACGTAGCGCAACATCGCCAAACAAACAGCTTACAAGCACGGCTGGACCGTCCTCGGACCGTATACCCCTGTTTTCGAGGTCGCTGAGCACGATAGGACACATCTAGAGGGTCAAAACATTTACGACGACCCAGAAATACGAGTTTCATTGAGCAAATACGGGGAAAATGGTCAAATTTCAAGGTTTTTCAAGTCCTTTGACACCATCTGGTGGTGCCGCTGGGTTGAAAACTCCTGAGGACGTATTAGGGCATCGTACCACATGGCATAAAAAATATCTAGCCAAGCAACCCAAGTATAGCTCCATAACGAGCCATGTAAAACTGACCATCTGACAAGCACCAATTGCGGTGATGGCGCCCGAGTGCTAGAAGCTAGAAATCTACAACTCTGAGTGTGTAAAGATGTTTTTGGGGTTGGTAATAATGCTCATGAAATTTCTTGGCTGAAAATATGTACTGCATTGGCCTCAACTATTGACCATAACTTGTTGCGCTTCCACGTTATTTGGCCAAATTTGGCCTCCCGGAAAGATCGACGCCGTATGGGCCCGTCAAATGCTCAAACCCCGAGAAGTAAATTTGAGGTTGGAATTCAGAACCTTATGAGTCACTTAGCCCTTTGGCGCGCGTAATTTGGTCCAGAAATGGACGAGATATAGGCGGCGCCAACTAAGTGTTGCGCTTCCCGGTTAGCGACTGTATTACCCTATCCCAACGCCTTACGGCTTTTCAGTGAAGAAATTGCGACAAGAGGAGTAGTTCTATGGTTTCTGTCTTATTTATCGTGATTTGTCAAATCTTCCGGCACAAGTCCAAAATGCAACAACGTTCATTGCTGGGTAGCTACATCGTTTCCTGGGTTTTCCTAAGCCCAACCCTTGGTCCCTTGCCCTTTTCCTCACTCAAAACCACCTTTTCGTTGACGAAAATTCCGACTCGGAACGTTGTCGGAACGGGTCGAGATAACATGACCCATTACGGAAGTTGATCAGTGCGTAGTCGATCTCGAGTCCTCTTGCAAGAGACCAACGGATCTTTATCTGCGCACACAGGCCGAATCTGTGTGCGCAGATAAAGATCCGTTGGCCTCTTGTCCTCTTGAGTGACAGTGAAGTTGAGTCATTGACTGGCGGCCTAAACATGCCGATTCATATGGTCTTATAAGCCGGATCCAGGCCGGATCCCTCTTCAAGATCCCTCTTCGTTCCACAATGACCCAGCTTGAATCCGATGGCGGCCCCCCGCCCTTCGGTCATGCTATGCTCAAGTACTTCCCCTTCGATCCGGACTATGTAAATCTCAATCATGGTTTGTCCTCTCCATTTTTGAATGTGGCATGAGCTCACGAATAAACACCAGGGGGCTACGGGTCGCTGCCCCTCCCCGTACTTGCGGCATGCGATAAATTGACCCTGCGCATCGAGTCCAACCCCGATCTTTTTGTGCGAGTTGACCAGACGGCGCTCATCACAAAATGCCGTGCGCAGATCGCGGAATTCGTTGGTGCAAAGATGAACGAGATCGTGTTCGTCCGGAACGCAACCCACGGTATCAACACCATCATGCGCTCATTCGAGTGGAACGCTGGCGATATTATCGTTACATGTGCGCAGGCCGTTCATTTATTCATTTCACTCCGGATAACACCGAGCCAGGCAGCACCACATACAACGCGATAGCTGGCCTCGTCCGCTTTCTGCACGATTGTCCCGGACACCCTGACGTGTCGACGTTCGTGATTCAGTGGCCTACGTCGCACGCGGCTATAGTCGCTGGATACCGAGCCCACCTTCAATCCCTTCCCCGGCATCCAGGTCAGAAAGTGGTCGCAATAATAGATTCTATCATCTCGATTCCTGGTGCTTTGCTGCCTTGGCAAGCACTGGTGCAGGTCTGCAAAGAGCTCGATGTCTACAGTCTTATCGACGGCGCGCATTCCATTGGACAAGAACCCAACATCGACCTTGGAAAGGCCAATCCTGATTTTTGGGTCTCCAATTGCCACAAATGGATGTTCTCACAGCGTTCGTCCGCAGTCATGTTCGTCGCCGAACGGTGAGTATATTTCATGTTTGATCCATAGTGGTCTCACCCTAGCATCTAGCAATCAAGGAATTGTCAAGTCTTCGTTTCCCACTTCCAAGGTGTACAGATCACCCGCGGACCGCGCATTCCCTGAAGAGACTTTCATCGAACAGTACAACTGTCTGTAATCCATGTTTTTTGCCGTATTCTCCGCTGACTTTCCCCAGGGAATGGTACTATTAATTTTGTGCCGCCTCTCAGCATTACGGCCGGTATACAGCTTCTTTTCCCGTTTTGTGGCTGCGTCGTTGATCATTTTGCACCAGCATTGGAGTTTCGCGAGTGGCTCGGCGGCGAGGATGCTATCAATAGCTACTGCCACAACATGGCGGTACGCGGCGGCGCGCATCTCGCCTCGCTCTTGGGTACGCGTGTCATGGACGAGACCGGCGAATTCACCCTCAACATGGTCTGTTCCGTGTACTCTTACCAATGACTGCGTACCTAACACAATTCAATCATAGGTGAACGTGCAGATCCCGTTCCCGCCGAGCGTGCAGCCTTCACATGCGCTCGACGACCTGTTCAGCCAGAAGCTGCTCGCGCCGACGAACCGCAAGACTAAGATCAGCACATACCCATTTTACCACAACAACACGTGGTGGACACGGTGTAGCGCGCAGATCTGGACCGAGGTGCGTTTAGCAATGTGCTTGGGGCCTATCGCTCACGGATTCTACAGCTGGCTGACTTTGAGGTTCTGAGCGATGTCCTGAAGGAGGTTTGTCAGGAGGCGGCGCACGAGCTGCAGGCGGTGGCCTGATGACAATTTAAAACCAATCTCAAACTCTAGATACAAGTATGACGAGTATTGGGCTGCGAACGAGGTAGAAATTTAAATACCGCTCTCATGGCGTCGAGATGTGTGCGAAACTATCGAACCGTTATCGAAGTCCGTGAAACAACTTCATAGTCACTCAAAAGTATGCTCCCCTAGTTGCACATTCCCATTACTTTTGAATCTCGTGCTCCACGCCTGCCTGGATCATAAACTCGTTCTAAATTTTAAACGTTTTCAACATGCCGCGTTTTGATTCAACATGCCGCGATCGCCGAAAATCCCACAGTGATGGGGTCACTGATGTGGTGATCGCCGATTCTGTCGTTCTTCCAGCTTTCAACAAGTGTTGAAACGACGTATTTTAGAATTAGAAAAGCTATCGTCGACGAGAATGCCGAGTTCGTGTTTGACTCGCAGAAGTGATACCTACACACTTATTAAATTCAACCAACCCCGGGCCCTGGAGTTCGACGAGTTCCGAAAAATCAAGAGACACGACCGTTGAATAAGCAGCAAAGAAAAAAAACAAGCAAAAAGAAAGGTCAATTTCCACTCATAACCTGACCCCGAATCGAACCAGGAACCCCTGCTTATATCACTCACTTTCAACTCAGTGTAAGTAAGCCGGAATGTTACCAGTTACATCATCAGGTCTTGTTGACAGTGTCCTTCTACGGGATAAGAGCACTAGGGGCTGGAGATAGTTGCAAGAGAAGGAGTAATGCAGTAAATTCAATGCAGCGTGGAATTTAATTTAGATGGCTGAACCATTGATTCGAGCACCGTTCTAAGCACACTGTTTGAATGCAACAACGAAGGGGACGTTCAGGACAACGATAATAGGAATGCAAACCAAAAAAAAAGGGTAAAACTTTGCAACAATTGCATGACCTGACCCCGAATCGAACAGGGATCTCCTGCATAAAGTCGTTTACGCGATTACCACATGCAGCAGGTGTTTCCGGTATCACCACCAGATCTCTCCTGCAACCCCCTTGCGTGAGATAAGTAAGACTCTGTGGGAGTGACCATGATTGCGCAAGATGGCACTGGAGTAAATTCAACCCTCGGAATTCAATATATGGGACATTCGAGTGCAGTCAAGGAGCATACAGACCACGAGCCCACTGGCAAGCGGGTTGAACTATACGGGAGTTGGAACAATAGTCTACGGAAGGCGGACAGGCGAGCGGGAACTGTGGGGTTAGTTTTGAAGATGTGAATTCAGGCACATACGGTAGAGATTATCGGGGCGAAATGTTGAAAGAAAAGGTTGTGCGGCGCGCAGAGGATCCGAAGAAAGATATAGGCATGCTTGAACAGGACAGCGTCGGCGAGTTTGAGGCGTCCGGCGGTATCGAGACAAAATTATTGAACGCGCCCGTCGCCGACTAGTAGACTCTGGAAGACCGACAGAGATTCAAGGATGGCTGGTCCCGTTTGTTTGCAGACTGAAAAAGAAAGCCGGCCACCTCACCCTCTCCGATCGCCGACAAGTTCGGTCATCGGGGTTCGGGCCAAGGTTGGTTCGTGACACCAAATGTTATCCCTGTCACACATCACCGACGTCGCTCCCGCCGGACTCGTGTGGCCCTCCTGCGCCCTCCTCGCCCTCGCCACAGTTGCCCTCTACCGCTCCTACTCCCGCCCCTCTATCGCTGTCAGTCACCTTGCGCTGTGTTTTTATAGGACAAAACTGACTCGGAACTCGGCACTTTCTGACTTGAATACTCTATATCTGACTCCATCTCGTTTTGCCTCAAAACCCTCGACTTTGCCTTGGATTTCATTGGATTTCGGTATCATACGACACGATACACGCGATTGGATTGCTGGCAGTTCCGCGCGACCCCTGCACCTGCCCCCTTATCCGCACACACGCACACCACTCCGCAGGAGATCAAGATGGTCGACCGCAAAATGGAAGAGAACATCGCGCAATTCTGCGGCGTCACTGGTGCCTCGTCAGTCCCTCTCCCACTTGTTCTACCATCGAACTTGAACTGGAGCTGACGAAAGTGGTGCCGCAGAGTAAAAGACGCCAAAAAGTTCCTCGAAAAGTACAAGCGTGTCGACGTCGCCGTGGACGCCTACTACGGCGACCCCACCGCCTTCGCTGCGCCCGCACCTGCCGCACATACGGGCCGGACACCCCATGGGCCCTCGACGAGCAAGATCAATGCTGTGTTTGACAAGTACAAGGGTGCGCGAGGTCTTCATTCCGCTTTCCTTCATCTGCGTTTGCTCTCTTCCCTCCGGGTCCATCGCGCGTTGGACTGCGTTGTTGCTCGCGCACCTTTGGCGGAATGCGATCCCGCGTTTTCGTCATCATATAATCAAAGCTGACTACGGTATCTTTGACTTCGCCGCAGACCCAGACAGCACCGACGACTCCATCACCGTCGACGGCACGATCCGCCTCTGCGAGGATCTCGGCGTCAACCCCGAGGACGTCGTCCTCCTCGCGGTCGCGTACGAGCTCAAGTCGCCGCACGTCGGCGAGTGGGGACGGGCCGGGTGGGTGGAGGGATGGAAGGCTATCGGGTGGGTCCTTGTTTTCCTCCACATTTACCCCATTATCTTGCTTTCGAGTGCTGTGCGGCGCGCTGACGGCTCGACTTTCCTTCTTTTATATTCTCCTTGCGCCTCTGCACTCGCAAATTACCCTCCCTACGAAAAATACGACATGGGATATTGGATAACACGCACAGCGCCGACACCCTCCCCACCATGGCCGCCGCCCTCCCCCGCCTGCGTACCAAGCTCGCCTCCGACGCCGCCTACTTCACCAAGGTGTACAACCACACGTTCGAGTTTGCACGGGCGGAGGGGCAGAGGAGTATTGGTGAGTTCTTTGAAGTCTATTGGAGAGGATTTTTTTTAGTCGAGTGGCGTACGGAATCGGAGGGGAGGGCAGGGGAGGAGAAGAGAGAGGAGAACGCGAACAACCGCGCGGATCGCATAGGTGGAGAGTGGCCAGATCGTCGGAGCGTGCGCGGATGTCAGTGGTTGTGCGCACACCAGACGACACGCATCTTTTTTTTCTTTGGCGTGTGTGGGCGTGTGTGGGCGCGGTGCGGGGATTGACGCGCGGACCTAATGCATAGGCGGAGATTGCAGATCGCGTGGGGCTCTGATACTAATACACGGAGAACGCGTGGATCGTCGCAGACCGGGACGCTCGCTGTCTGTGTCTACGGACTGGGAGGCCCTCCAGTCGCGTTTTTCTTTTCTTTTCTTTCTTGTTTTTTCCTCTGTTTTGTTTTTTCTCTCTTCCGCCGGGCGTAGGCGGTGTCGACCTGGATGGCAGATGTGATGAGGGGCTGCCTTTGGTAGCCGGAGGTGGTGCTGGTGTGCGGGGATAGTGCGGGAGGGTGGACATATGTCGGATGCGCATCCTCCGCGGACTGTCTCTCGGGCATGTCTTCCCGAGCCGAAGGTGTTGAGACAGCCGACGGCCCTGTGTCGAGAGGAGAGGGGAGCGCGTGCGATTGGGACCCTGGATTTCGTCACGGTGGAGGCCGATGGATCCAGGGCGTCGCGTCGTATCGCCAACTTGTCTATTTTTTGTCTTCGTGGTTTTTTGTTTTGGCGGCGGGTGAGATTGTCTGTTCCCCGCGGCGCAGATCGACGGGCATCGCATCGCGGCGCGCGGATGGCTCGCGTCGGCTTGGATTTGTCGCGCCTCGACGGCGGACGGGAGCGTTCACTGCCGATTATTTTTAATTTTCCTTTCTTCGTCTCCTCCCCGCTCAAAACAACATTAACGCGCTTCTCGTTTTGCAGGCATCGACACCGCCCAAGCCTTCTGGGCGCTCCTCCTCCCGCACGGGATGAGCGGCGGCGCGATATCGCACACGGCCACGGATGGGAGCGGGGATGTGGATATGAATGGTAAGTGCTCGTTTTGGATTGGGTTTTTTTCTTCGCGTTTTCTTGAGGGGGTTTTTTTTTTGGCGGGCGAGACGCGGTGAGCGAAGGGGGAGGAAGTGAAGGCGGGGGCCCAACGAGCAGGGGAAGAAGCTGGGGGTGAAGGCAGGTGGGGTGTGGCCGTGGATGTGGATGTGGACGGACGACGTGACGGGTGTCGCTTGCTCCGTCGAGAGCCATGGCGCCAGGGGATGAGAGCGGCGTTCGTTGTACGCGGCGATGCTGGTCCAGAGGGCGAGCAAGCTGTGGAATCGGGCGTCCGGATGGTGTCGGTGGACGGATGTCGTTTGTTGCGTGGGGCAGGGAGGGAGGCGAGAGCGTTCGTCAACGCGCCTGTTGCTGAGAGGCGAGTCGATATCCTGTGCGAGTCATTCTTTCGACGGCGGTGGTCAATGTGGAGACACGAGCAGCTGGCAGCTGTCGTCGGCCGGGTGACTTGCGACCACGAGTGTGACAGAGGAAACACTTGTGGACGGTCGTTCTGCTTGGAGCCCATGTCGATACCGATATGGAGAGGGCGCCGCGAGCGAATATATGTGGAGGCTCGAGTTTCTCCTTCCCTCTGTGTGGCACTGGTGGGCTCCGATCAATTTGCAAGTCGACGGGGATCGGGTGAGGTGGTGCGATTGGGCATTGGGGAGGTCGGAAGGACGATATTAGTCGTACTTGGGGCTGACTCCAGTCGATACGACGACCAGGACTAGCTCGAGAAGGGCCAGTCGGTGCGGACTGACGGTCGCGATGCCCTGGTGGCATTGTCGTGGAGACTACGACTTGGAATGCGTTGCTCCGGCTGGGCTGGCGAGTGGGCGCGAGCGGTGCACGACGGGAGTGTTGTGTTGTGCGTAGTCGGCGACCATTCGCGCAGAGGAAGAAGGCTTAGATACAACGCGGTCGATCATAACGCGCAGGCTCCGGTAGGACGGCTCGGACGCACATGTCGCGCTTCGCACGTTCCTTTTCGCCTTCGTTCCTTTTTATATCTATCGCTGTTTAATTCCTTGCGATTTTACCTGCACGACGCCTACTGATCCATTCCTTCCTTTAACTAGGTAAGCACACCGCCGGTTTCGCGCCTGAGCACGTCGACTGGTGGTTTGAGTTTCTGGGGACGCACGGGGGGAAGGGGGTTAGCAAGGATACGTGGGTTATGGTGAGTCGCGTTTGTGTCTCGCGAATGCAATTGCGTTTTGGGGGAGATTCCTGGCTGGAGGCAGAGGAAAGGGAAGGAGTGCCTTTGAACCATGCTCGGGCGTGTTTAGTGCGCCTGCGGATGTGGAGGCGAAGACAAGGGGGAGCATCGCTGTATTTGCGGCGTCGTGCAATCCTTTGCGTGGACACCTGGTTATCGACCCCTGAATACTTTACTTTCATGCCGTGCCTTCTTTTTACTACCCCGACCTCCATCCCCCATCTGGTCCCTTCATTCTCCCTCGTCCACCGCCATCGTCCCCTTCATCCCCCTGCCCCGTCCCCCGCTTCCTACCCTTCCCTATTTTCATTCTTTCCACCCATTCACGCCCCCGTCCATCCTCCTTCCCCCTCCCCCTCCCTTATCCTCTCAACTGACGCCTCTCCTCGCCAGTTTCTCGACTTCGTGCGCACCATCGACGTGCGGTTCGAGACATACGACATGGAGGCCGCGTGGCCGTCCACCATCGATGATTTCGTGGAGTGGGCGAAGGAGCGAGTCGCGGGCGGGTCATGATTGTTGTAGCTATCCA